CTGACGTCTGATGCCAACCCGGGGGCATTTCTACAACTACAAACCAGATCTGGCTGCCGCCTCCTCCAACTCTGCCAGGGCTCTGGGGGCTCAGGATAAAACCCAGCTCCCTGGAGCGCCTCCCTCTGCTTTGCCTGCACTGCACACATGCTCTGTGCCAAGCTGCAGCTCCTGAAAGCCTCAGGCTGGGTCCTCTCCCCTCCTAGCCCACCAGCTGTATACCCCCTGGAGAGGCAGAGCCCCTCAGACTCCCCCACCGTGCAGCCCTGACTCCTAACCTCTCAGCAGAGTGGGGCGGGCCTTTCCCAGGCTCCGGTCTCCCTCTGCCACTTCTACTCCTATTCCTGGGATCACTTCTGGCCCATCCTCCACGGGGGGCTTCTCAGGTTGTCCCCTCTCCTCTCTTCTCCCTCATCCCCTCCCAGGTGTGCCCACTCGCCCCCACACCCTATTGTTGCCCTGTTGAAACAGATGATGCCCCACGTCTGCCCCTTGGTTCTGGATCCCAGGGTTCCCCTGGCTACTGACCACATCACCTCCCTCAGATTTCCCACTGGCGCACCACACTCAGCTCCTCAGCACCTTCCCGCTGAGGGGAGGCAGAGAAAGGAGAGGCTGTAGTCATCCACAGCTAGAGGAGAGCTCAGGGTGTGGGGTCAGGGGCAACCTGGGCTGTGGTCCCTTCTCTGAAAAGCCCCAATGTGAAGAGCAAGTTTCCAGGAAACATAGAAGGGGCGTTTTTTTGAAGCAATCTCCAACCCCAACCCCTGACTGCACAGGAAAGAAGAGGCTTGGCTGGATGGGGTTCAGAGTGGACCACAAGCTCACTGAGATTGTAAATACTGGACCACACGCTCAGTGTCGGATGGAGATTCACGGGGCTCCAGGTGAAGGAACCCCTGCACCCTCCTTGAGCAGATCTCCTCTGGGAAATGGTGGCCAATCGCAGACTCCACATCTAAAAAGGAATTGACAGACTCTCCTGGCTGCGGTGACACATCTGGGCAGATGCTGGAGGGGCTGAGAGTGTTCTCTCCCAAAAGGGGACCTGAAAAGGCCAGCAGAAACCTCTGTCCCGGGACAGAGGGGGCCCTTGTCTGAGAGGGCAGATCTGAGAAGAACGGGCAGAAGCCCCATGGGGACCGGGGTTCACCTGATGCAGAAAGAACTTTCTATGAATAAGTGAGGCTGACTCTACCCGCGGTGAAGCCCAGGACCCAGTAAGCCCCAGTAACGGACTGGGACAGGCACTGGCCCAGGACTGGTGGAGGAAACTCACTCCCCCAGCCCCACCCAAAACCTGCAAGGATATGGGGCTGGAGCTGCTGCAGCTCCAAGCTGGCACCAAAGGAGCCTGGGGGCAGGTCCCCCTGAGAAGGCAGAGCCAAGAGACAGACGGTGCCGGAGGCCTGGAGTCACAGGTGATGCCTGTAGGGGCCCTTCCCCTCTCCTGAGGTGGGCTTCCAGGCATGCGCAGTGGGTACAGCCTGCATGGAGGTGAGCGGGCCCCGGATGGGGCAGGATCCATCCCTGAGGGAGACCCAGGGCCGCTGCAGTGATTCTGTGCCCTGCGCTTTGCCCGTCAGGGGTGCTGGCTGGGCACACGTGAGGCACCATCCCACCTACCATCCACTCCCATCTCTGCCCAAGGGAGCTGGCGTCCTGAGAGGCGGCCCTGCAGGGGGAATGGGCAGGTGGCCCCATCTGTACCCCCATCCCAGGAGCTCACCTGTCGAACAGGGGCTTCTCCCCACAGTCGAAGGAATCCTGCAGGTCCCTCACCAGGTTGGCCTGGCCGGGCATGCGGAAGAGGCCCTCCTCGGTGAGCCCACGCTCCCGGATGAAGTC